GGTCGGGGCAATCCCAGGCATTTATACAAGCTGGGGGAAGATCTCCTTGAGAGCAGCCCTGCGGAGAAGGACTTGGGGGTCCTGGTGGATGAGCCAGCAGTGTGCGCTTGCAGCCCAGTTCTGGGCTGCAATAAAGAAGGGGTAGCCAAAAGGGAGAGGGAGGTGATTTGTTCTCCTTTACACAGCTCTTGTGAGCCCCCATCTTCAGTACTGTGTCCAGGCCTGGGGCCCCCAGGAAGGATGTGGAGTGCTTGGAGCGGGTCCAGAGAAAGACCATTAAGGTGATCAGAGGGCTGGAGCACCTCTCCTGTGAGGAAAGGTTGAGGGAACCGATCTTATTTAGCTTGCAGAAGAGAAGGCTCTCTGGAGACCACGTTATGGCCTTTTGGTACTTGAAGGGACCATATAAACTGGAGGGGGAATGGCTATTTATGAGGGTAGATTGTGATAGGACAAGGGGGAATGATCTTAAGCTGAGACAGGGGAGGCTTAGGTTAGATATTAAGAGGATGTTTTTCACACAGAGGGTGGTGATGCACTGGAACTAGTTGCCCAAGGAGGTTGTGGATGCCCCATCCCTGGAGGCCTGGGCAGCCTGGTCTGGTGATTGACGACTCTGCACATAGGAGGGGGTTGAAACTCAATGATCATTGTGGTCCTTTTCAACCTAGGCTATTCTATGATTCTATGATAATATAGTTTGTGAACTACAGAGGCAGGCTAGCAATCTTGTTAGGGAATCAGACATATTTACCTGAAGACTTCTACAGAACCACTAAGTTATCACATTTTTCTCCATTAAGGCAGTGTATCTGAGGGAAGGATCTTTACCAGTTATTGCTTCAGATGAATCCTTCCCAACTGCACAGACAATTTGGAGATGCAAAGTTGCATCTATTTCATTTGCATATTGTGTCCTGGAGATTATTTGGGTAAGATCTCTAAACAAGTTGAAACTGTCTAAACCTAGAGAATATGATGAAACTCTTAAGCCAATTTAATCAAATTTCAGAGTTTTGCAGTCAAAGATTAGATAAACAGTTGTAGTGAGTATGGTTAATGGCAGAAGAGAGAAGAGTCAATTTCTCCCCTGGGCCACTCTAATGTCTTTGTGTAGTTAGTTCCTTTTTATACCTCTTAAAATACAGCATAATGCAGATTGCAGATGAACAGCCTTCTGCTCCTTGAAATATCTCCTTGAAAGTGTACCAATTATTTGAGATGAATGCTGACACTCCAGCCAACTTTATTGTACCTTGTATCATTCAGTTCTCCAAGTAGACCTGGGTCTAGAGAAGTGCAACTGAGGATTTTTTACTAAAAACTACTTCTAACATCTACCTGTAACAACTGTTTGTATGAATCCTTCTTTGCTTTTGGGCTCAAAGCTTGCTTGCTTGGTATTTCTTGTGATAAGATTCTAGGAGATGAGAGATGGGTGTTGCTGTGTGGCAATCAACATCACTGTGTGGACAATTTTACATTTGAAAGCATTTCTTTGGAGCTGTTTACCTTCAGAAGAGAGTGCTCAGGACTTTTTACTGGCGGAAGATCTAGCCTGTGACCAAATAACTCCTGTTTGCTATGGGAGATTGGGGGATGATGCCATTGTATCCTGTGAAGGCAAGATACAAGTTGGCACTTCCCTGTTCCCTTTTATCAGCTGACAAGGACCGGAAGATGGGGACAAAGGAGTTCCTGCTGAGATCCCAGAGCCAGAAGCTGCCGCTCCAAAGAGAACTGACTCAACCACTTTGGAACCACTGAAAAGGGGCCATCATCGCCATGGTCGCTGTCATCATCAACAGAACAATAATGTCCAACGACCCACCACTACTGAAGATCAAAGATCGAACTACGAACCGCCACACTAGATCCATGGTGGTGACTATCTCCTTCTTGCTGCCTACAAAGACTCCTTGCTTCTTCTTTCCCATCCTTTCTGTTGCCCTCCTTCCCTTCCCCATTATCCTAATTCATAATAGTGTCCATCCTCCCCTAGCCCATCTCCCTAATTAAGGTTTGTAATAAACTCGTCAGACCAACATTTGAACCGTTGTTTCTTAATCTCACGCCTGGTATATAGATATTAAAAGAACCTCCTCTCCTCCTACAAAAAAGACACTATTGCAAAACAAGTCTGCCTATACCTAGTACCCAGACTGGGTTTCTGTGCAGTAAGCATTAACATTTTAAGCAGAGGTACAAAACCCAAGGTGTGCTCCAGGGAATGGAATGGACACTGATTGGCCTTGGCAGATACTCTGCATATGTTTTTGTAATCCTCTGGTCCAGTATGCCAGGCTAATTGGGATCCCCAAACAAACTTTTGTTTGAAAGCTATCTATTCAATGACCTTGTCAGGCTTTAGTTGGATTCTGCCTTGAAAGAGGGCTCCCCTGGAATGAGGGGGGACCTATGCCATTAAGGCTGCAGAAAGATTTTTAAGTAGGCATTTAAATGACAACATGGAAAAGCCTCCTGAGATGCTAAAGGAAAGGAGCTGTGATCTCCTTCATCAATTCTATCTGGAAATGAACAAGATTTTGGCATTGAAAAGGCATGAAGCATTATTTTAAAACTTCCCTCTGGGATTTCGGTTGTAAGCAAATGACCATCAGCTTTAATATCTAACATGGCAGCAAGTATATGCCTCTTATTCTGTGTGCGCAGCCATGTCACATTATTTTTTTCCTAATGCAAGACAAGTGAACACACAGAAAGGTGGAAAAGTTGCCAATTTATTGCCAGAGAAGTTTTAAGAATTTTTTGCTTTGCAACATAAAATCAAATACTTTTAAAAAAGAATAGTAATTATAAACTTGTTTCCCACTTTGCATTTTGATCTCATAAATGCCAAAACATGAAATGGCCTGAGGGCCAAACTATCAAATAGGTATGGTAAGTAGCTTATAGCATTCAAAAGATTAAATAAACAAAAAAGCACCCCAAGCAAACAAAATATGTGTCTTAAGATAAAAAAAAAAAAAAGTAATAAAAGCAAACTTCAGAACCTACTCTTAAGAAGCATCTTTTATTTGCTAACTTGGTTTTCATAAGAATGATGCATCCCAGACAATAGTAATTACAGTCTCAAATAAGTATATCCCTCAGTTTGGATTGTATTTGCCCTGTCTTTCTTAACATCTTATTTTCACCATTTTGTCCAAATTACCCTCCTCCATAAGAGTTTACGTTTATTGAAAAATAAATGGACATTTCCAGGTAATACAGAAGTAAGATACTAAATCTGTAATTTCTTTTGCAGAACACTGGAACTCCTGCTTTCAGGTCTTCCATAACACTGCTTAAGACAAGATCTCTTTTACAGCATACGGAGTACAGAGTGGTGGTTAGTGGAAACTGGGAATCAGCATTCTGCAACTCCTTTAATCTAAATGTTTCAAAAACACAGAATAATTGTTAATTCTTAATCAAACCAAAACATATGAAGAGTTTTCCAGCATTTTTATTAATATCATTATTCTGCTTCAGTTACAAATTCTAAGAGCCAAAGCAGGACAAAATGTATTTTTGTGTTAATTACATACTTTTGGGTAAAGATTTCTGTTAAGAAAGGACTGAAAATTTGAAAAAACAAACAAACATAAAGAGAGTAAATGGATGAAGCCTTAAAAAGGGAATAAAAACATCATGAAGCCAACAGAGAAAACAAATAGTACTAACTTCAAAACAGAAACAGTTACCTATCTTTTTGGTATGTCTACACACACGCATCTGGGCTTGATCTATTTTCTGTGTGGTACATAGCTGTTAGTGAGGTCTGGCACCTAGCCTGACCACACCAAAGAAAGAACTGCAAGTCCCAAAGAAAGCATCTTAGAATCATAGAATCATAGAATCACCAAGGTTGGAAAAGACTAAAAGATTATCCAGTCCAACCGTTCACCTATTCCCAATAGCTCCTACTAAACCATGTCCCTCAACACAACATCCAGCCTTTCCATAACACCCCCAGGCTCGGTGATTCCACCACCTCCCTGGGCAGTCCATTCCAGTGCCTGACCACGCTTTCTGAAAAGTAATACTTCCTAATGTCCAGCCTGAATCTCCCCTGCTGTGGCTTGAAACCATTCCCTCTGGTCCTATCACTAATGACATGAGAGATGTCAAGATGATAATGAGATAATAATGAGAGATTACAAGACGATAATCTTGTAATTAAATAGTTTTTTTTGTCTTTTTTTTTTTTTTAATTATTTTTTTTCTCCTACACTGTCTGATTAAGAATAATGTGGAATAATGTGGGTTACCACAGGAAGCTTCCACGTTCCAATAGGTGATGGACTGGATCCCTCAGCTTGAAAGGAAAAGCAGGGTGTGGTCACATGTGAATCACTGAAGATCAAAGGCATACGTATAGGTGAGAAAGTGGGTTACTTCATGAAGAAGCACTTTGATCAGGAGGGAGATGGTTTTATCCCTTGTGGGCACAAGTTAATGTTTTGTCTGTTGACAAATGGATCACTTGAAGCTAATGATCTATTTATAAGAAAGCAATTACAAGTTACAAAAAGAAAATGCCTTGTCATGGTGACTGAATGCGATAAAAGCTATTAACAATCATTTGATGTAAAACTTCATCTTATACCTTGCTCTTTATCAGTGGTGCATTATACTGTAAATTCAAATTTTAAATATTCAAAGTTAAAACTATTCTTTAGGTGTGACTAGGATGACCTCTGCACAAAATCCATATAGCTACGTTGGCAATAGCAGAAACTTTTAAAACAATGCTGAGAAAATCCACCAAGTGAATCGAGTATCTTCTCATCTACCCTTGAGGGAAGAATACAGTATAAACTTAGGAAGCGGTAGATTGCCAGACCATGATCTAAGAAGACAACATAGATCCCATACCAAAATGGGAACAAGTAGTCTGAGAGAGTAGAAGAACCTGCAAACTTGTTTGTTTCCCTTTCTTCAGAGATGCAAGTTGGCACTGTTACTCAGTAAAAAAAAATAACACCAGAAAAGGCTTAAAGAATTTCCAAAGCTGTCTTTCAAGCTGTCTGATTACAGTAATTTCTGATTCTTTTCCATTCATCTTTAATATATTTCATATGCAGTACAAGAACAGAACAACATCCTCATTAGATATGTAATTCTGTCATCTCAATTTTATATTTCAGTGGCTGAAGACTGTGTACCTCTGAGCCACACTTAGGACAGGTAAAATACATATCAAGTAAATAGTTACTTTTAATACAATAGTAACAAAACACATGTGAACAGCCTATGGTATGTGGCATGGTAGGCCATTCCCCACACAGCGAACACACCTTGTAGTGAGCTGCTAATGTTTTTTCACTATTAGAAAGATTGGCAATAGGCAAACACCAAGAACAAATTTTGAGTTTCAGTTTCTGTACATTAATAAGTGGTAGCAAGTAGATCAGAAATTCAGCAAAGCCATGCCACAACAGCTCCCTGTTCATGTATTCAAATCCTACCTGACGAACATTCTGTGGCTTGCAAAAAACTGATTTAATTCCTAGAATGCGTTCAGTAAGTGTTGCAAATGTTCCTTTCTGAAGAAAAATCAGAAAATTTACAAGTCCACAAATTTTAAGAAGTCCAGCTCCAAAATTAATATATTGCTTGATTTTGCTGACAGATTGCAGTTGGCGATTGCTAAAGAAATCATAACATCTTTCCTCCAGCCATCTTCCACCAACAGTGAAAATAAGATACCATAACTTCTGGTGTTTGCTCAGAGGTTGGTATTTCTCTGTCTGAGATAAGTTATTCTTGTACTGAATATTCAAAATAGCCTGTCCCACAGTTGCATTCTTAGAATAGATGGTGAATCTCCACAGTAAAAGCCACAGAAATGCTTTAACTTCTGGTTCAATATGAGCCAACACCCCTGGTTTAAATCCATGAAAACAGCTGGTAAACTGGGACCACACTAGTTGTTCCAGAGCTTTGTTTAGTTCAAGAGCATCAAGTTGACTTATTCTGAGCACAGGATTCACACTCTTTTCATTTTCAATGCTGGGTGCCATTTCTTCTCAAAAAAATACTTTCTAGGAATAAACACAAATACATTTTAGTATAACATAGCATTTCCTATTTCTGTTCTTGTTAGAGCTAACAAAGTTTTTAACAAATCAGGAGTAAACATGAAATAACAAAAATGCCTCCTGAGTTATTAATATAATATCAGGAACTACTATGAGTCTTTTCAGCAAGATTCATACAAATAGCATACACTTGCCTCTTAAAAGAACTTACATTGAGACTATTTCTCATTGGCAGTAATATTTTTATTTGGTTATAGAGAACTGTGTAATCTCCTCTTGATTTTCACAAAACATTACAAATTTAACATTTCACTGCTGTAAACTGAAAAAAAAAGTAAAGAAGTTATGTGCTTAAATACTCACATGGGCCTTAAAACAGAAAAAAAGTAAAACTGTAAGATGTTTAATGGAAAAACAGGGAAAATTTGCATACAGATTAAAATCTATGTAGGAAGGAACAGAGGGTTAGATAGATAATATTGGTCCACAAATACTTCAGTAGTTGCAGCTTAAAGTAAAATCTTAGATATAGAAATTTTTAAATATATTTTCTATTAAAAAATAGAAATATTAAAAAATGTACAGACATACATTTTGTACGTACAAAAAATAAGGGTGGAAGACAGAAATGATAAAATTTGCTAAATAAAGGCAGTGATTTGTTTTGTTCATTACATAAAATTAAAAAAATACTCAGTATTCAACCACAAATTAACATACAATATAATACAGAAGCTAGCATATATTTCTGAGAATCTTTGATAGGTACAGAATTGTGCTAATGGTTGGATAATAAGTTTCCTGGCAACTTCAACAAATGTATACTGGTATTATTCAAGCATTACGGACAAATATAATAAATTGCAAGACTAAAATGTAGTTAACAACTCCATAATACAAAACTGCAAAGTAACTGATTTTTTTTTTTTTCTTTTGTCTACATAAATAGGGTTTAGGAGAAGGGGCATATTTCAGGTAGCGTGCAGTGTATTTCAGCTTCTAAAGGAGATTCTTTGTATAGCAGATAGACAACAATCTTCTGAAAAAAGTACAAAAGAAGATGCTTCAATTTCTATTTGTAAGAGGAAAACCTGCTATAACAATAATTTGAATAACTGATGCTGTATAGATTCCATATACGAAAGGCTGCGAATGATACTAAGAATATAAAAAAGTCCCCCAAACCATTAATCTTGTCCCCAGACAGTACACCAAAGGTTTTAAAACCCAGTATAAAACACTTTTTGCATTATTTTTTTTTTTCTCTACACCTATAGAAATATGACCTACAACTGGTAATGTTCTTAAGGAAAATTCTGTGCAAAGATCACAGGAAACACAATTTTTTTTTCTTAATGTATGCAGTACAACAGTGGTTTCCAATTAACTATGACTGGATACTTGGGTAGAGCATGGGATAGCCCACTTGATTTCTCCAAATCCTTCCATCCTCATTATCAAGCAAAATATGACTGAAGTTAGCATAAGGCCACCCGCCCTGTGCTATCAACCTCCTTGACATGCTACCATTTAAAAGTATGCCAAGCCTGAGTCACACATCTGTCCTTTCTGTAATAAGCCCTGATGCATAGGATGTTTGTTTGGAAAGCGCTATTCAGTATCACAATAACTTACCTCCTTCACTTTGCAGTCATGAGAACAATTCAGTCCCCACTGTACCATGTCGTAACTCTTCAGTGAGTCCAACCACAGTGACTACAAACCCTATTACCCTCTATTTCTTACCTCACTACCATTTTAGGAACCCTAGTCTCTGACCATCTGCTCTAGAACCTATCCCTTCAGTCCCATGGTATTTATTTGCAACCCCTAAAATCTAACACCTTCTTCACTTCTTCTACCTCAGTCCCCCCTATTCACTTCATTCTCATCTAACCATTTCAGCTATTCTCTCATTCTCTTTCTACACAGTTTCCAACACATATAAACCCCCTCCAAAACCTTACATGGACTCAAAATAGCCATCTCATCAAACAACTCCTATGCCCACAGATTATTCACTAAAACTATTTGCTATCAGCTCATTTTTTCCAGTTGTCTGCCACTACTCCAAGTGCTATGAGTACTTCTTTTGTAGATTAAATATAAATAAGTAGCCTAACAGCAGATTTTTTTTCCATTTGTGTGGCAAGATTATTCAAAGAAACCTGAGTAAGCACAGTATAACTTAACAGGAACCTCCTGAAGTTCAAGGAAAACATGCTAAACACATAGGAGCACAACAGATCACAAAAGACACATGAAAACCTACGTATGACTATAGTCCAGAGGCAGATCGATGGGATGGCTGCTTTGAGGAAAAAAAGGACCCCCGAATCCTGGTAGGGAGCAAGCTGAAAACAATCACCAGTGTACCCTCACAACAGTAATGCCTGGTGACTGCAGACTGACTGAAGGATGTGCTTATTCCCCTCTGTTTGGCATTGCTGGCTTTACACTGGCATCCAGTTTTGCCTCCTTTCTATCACAAGTAAAAGAGAAATGTCAACAAACTGGAAAGAGTTTAGACACTAATATAACTGGGGATCCCCAATACATGATATATGAGGAGAGCCTGAAAGAACTCAGATTGTTTAACTTGAAGATAAAGTAGTTAAAAAGCAATTTAATTGTTATCTTTCACTATCTAAAGGTTACAGAGAAGATTAAGTCAAACCTTTCTGAGAGATGCACAATGAAAGAAAAAGAGGCAATTGGTCATGTCTTGCAATATGAGAAATTCTTACCAGACATAAGGAAAAAAACGTCTTCATGAGAGGAGTTAAGTACCAGAACAGTTTGTCTAGACCATAGTGTCCAACCTTTTGGCTTGCATGGGCTGTGCTGAGTGAAGAGGAATTGTCTTGGGCCACATATAAAATATAGTTAATGTATATAATAAGTAACAAAATTTACTTTGTCTTTTATTTTTTATTTTTTTATTAAAAGATGAGAGCAACAAAAAACATTAAACTTGTGGAATATCTGATCTTGCTTTTGCGAAACACTAATCAAATATATATCACAAAACTAATTAAAAACATCACAAATTATTTTATGCTTTGTGAGCTTTTAAAGATACTGAAAATACTGAAAATACAATAAAATACTGAAAAGCATGACTATTCAGCATATTTCTTCTAGACTGCATATGTCACAAGACAATGTTTAAACGGGCAAAGACAGTTTAAAATATTACTGTCTGTAATCACTATATTGTACTCACCAAGTGGCACAAGTGCACATAACATGTAATGCACATGGGTATCTATCTATTCAAGTGAGCATGTGGGATGGGTGCAAGAGGCAGTTATCACTGCACTGTACCCTCCCCTCTGTAATATTTTGTTACCCCTTATGCAGCCCATGTTTGGGCTACATGCCACTGATTGCATTGTGATTCTCTCTGTAAATGTAGGAGGGATGCTCCAGAAGTAATGTATCTCCTTTTACTGTGTTGGCCAGTGACATCAGAGGCAGGTGTTGGTGGTATGCCAGTTGAGGATGAATCTTCTCACCGATATTCCTTCAGATGTTGTTGCCATGTGACAGATGGCAGCAGACAGACATTTGACAAAGTGGCATCTGACATGGAAGTCCATATGAAGGAAAGCTGTGTAACTGAATTCCTTCGTGTGGAAAAAATGGTACCCATTGACATTTACTGACACTTGCTGAATGTTTCTGGAGACCAAACAGTGTGTGTGAGCCCTGTGAGCTGGCGGGTAGTGCATTTCAGCAGTGGTGACAGTGGGTCAATCCCTGCTGGTGCAGATGTTTCTGAGTGCTGCATGCAGGCTCTTGTTCACCACTGGTGAAAATGTACAGAAAACAATGGTGACTGTTTTGAAAGACAGGGTACTGTAGCTGAGAATTTGGTCAATCACACACTCTTATTGTGCTCACTGTATCTGTTGTAGTTTCCATGGAAACATATAGAAGGCATTAGTTTCAGAACAGCATACCTATTAATGTCCCTGACATTTTATAGAAGGAAATAACTTCAATGAGCTTAACTGTTAGAGTGGGAGTAGATTCTGTTTACAGAAAATTGAAGCCTCCTTTGAACCAAAGATCTAACTACTGTTTGTCAATCTTCAAATTTTTCCCAAATCCAACAAGCCTCCTTTCCTAAAATTAGAAGCAGTAGTATATATACTACTTATGTTACATTTAATGCTCCTGAATTACCAACTAGCATTTTTATTCAACTACAAGTCACTTTTATGCAAACTATGAAGAAGGAAGGCTGACAAGCAGAAACACAAGCAGGAAATAAAAAATAAAATAAAATCTTTTAAAATGCTTTAAGTTATGCTTATCTTACTATATGCAGAAAACTTACTTTCTGATCAACAGGTAGACACGAATTCTTAATGTAGGCAATACAATTAGACATAATTCCCAGTCTTTCTGATTGCTGCTAAGCATAACAAGTTTGCCATAGACCATGGCTGTTAACAAGACCCTGTGAGTTACTTAAAGATTATATCCATATGGCTTTAACACATAACCCATTTTAGAATACTTACTGTTACATACATGCTGAAGTACTGTGCTGTAGACTATACTTGCTTCTGAACTGATTTAAGATTTTACTGCACCGATATGGAAGATTTTCCACCTGAGACACATTACCTATTTACTTCAAAAACACAAACATTTAAAGGGAAAATTTAAAATCCGTATTCTCCTATGAAAAATATTTTCAAAAAGCCCTACTGATTTGGATACCATAAACTATTTATTTCAGAGAAGACGCATGAATTCTGTCTTTTTCCCTATTTTCTAGGGAATTTTCATTCTATTCGGTATCTATGACGTCCATTTCTTTAAGTGATGATAATTATAAAATAACTAAAAAAAGTTTCATTTTTTACTTCCTCTCAAAATTCTATTAGATTTTTCATTTTGTATTGATTTCACAAATTCTGGTCCATATGAATAAATGAGAAATCTGTCCTCTGTTCTAAAACATAATACCAGAAACACGCACTGTAAGC